GGATGGGTCATCCACTGCACCAGTGCTTCCAGCCGACCAGTATCCGTCAGGGCCTAGCCCGAGTTCCCTCTGGCGGTGTCGAGCCAGGCTGCCATTGAGTAGGAGTGGTAGGGAAGGAGCTTCCGTAAAAAAGTCACGGCGAAGGCATGAGACAGGGTGCACTTTATACTACATCTTAAATGACTGTTCTCTGGCCTGGAGTTTACCTCGTTGGAGAACACTCCAAAGTGACTGTTCTCCCGCAGCTTTTGTGACGCTGCAGTCGACAATGGGTAAGTCATAAACCGCCCCCATAAGGAATTGATAATAAACCTTAAGAATTTGACAGACTGGGAATATATATCACCGGGCTAGACGACAGCCGCCAACAGCCTATCTGCCCGCCCTCACTTCTGGGCTACGGTCTTGATCGCCCTCGGATGCCGACCTCTGAAAAGTACGTCTATTGATCCGCTTTGCGACGATGCAAATTCTCAATTAAAACGTCTTATTCCCAGTTGTGGGTTTGAAGGACCTTGGTCGGTAGTATTAAAACCCTTCAACTCTTGAATTCCGTATAGTAGTCCACATCATGGCTACTCAGACTATCCGCTCTCATAGCAGTGGGCAGCACATTCGCGCAAGCACTGTCCACCGTCGCACAAGCAAAGGGAACGAGTACACGAAAATGCTGAGAGAAGAAGCACAGATGGATTGAAGGTTCAACCTTTCCGCCAACGCAGCCAATTGGGTGCTGCTTGCGGGATATGTGATCATCCCGGGCACGTTCACGTCTTTGAAAAAGTCGAACGAAGTCCAAGATGTACTCCAAAAGAATGGGGCAGGTCGGGCGGCGCTGAAGACGATTCAGAACCCTCCCCTCCTTGTCATTGCGTTTCTCTTCCTCATTACTGGGGGTGCCATGTTGGGCTGGCTCTGGGTCAAGTTCAAAGACAATTATCCCTGGCTCATCAACAAAATCTTTCTGTAAGGTCCCTGCGCAGAAGCCCGTTTTCCAGAACTGAGAAAAATTCACAGTCCAGCTTGCCTTAACGCGACTGCAGGGTTGCTGACGACAGCCGTCAATATTTTGGCTTCACAATCCGGAACCTGCTCTGTCATGGCTCTGACGACGATTATTGTGACAGCAGTGACATTTGTGCTGTTCGGCGTCTCGTTAATCGTCTACAAATTTTTCAAACTGAAACGGGTTTTGAACGATGATCAGCTCGAGGTCCAGGCTGCCCTGAGGAATCGAGGGCATCCTAGCCTGCGATCGGCTTTAGACCAGGCCGAGGCTATTTTGGATGGTCATCGATTGGTAGCTCTGCAAAAAACAGTTACAGAAGCTCTCGCTCTTTCTGCGATCTTAGATCAATGGGACACCCATAGGGCCGACGTTATCGAAAGCAAAGTCAACCAATTGTGTCAATATCTTACCGAACTTTGCCTGGCACATGTGAATGACAGTTCTTTGGACCAAAACAATCTACAGGGTAGATCAGGGCCCCTTGTGTGATTTTCCTGCACACGGCCCGTATTTCTACTGTACGGCACCATATTGTCTACAATTCAAGCCGATACAGCTAAATTCGAAATTGCCTTCCACATTTTACACAGAGAAACTATCTGGGACCCTAGCACTAGGGCAATAACGGATCCAGCTATACTGCTTCGACCTATGATATGGATCGAACCCCGGACTGTCTAGCCGAAATTGGAATGCCATGTCTTGGCTCAGGGTTCTAGAACAAATTTCTATGTGGAGAATATGGAAGGCAATTTCGAATTTACCTGTAGCACTGTACTCTTCCGATAGAGAAATTAGTTCTCGATCGCGTCTTCTGCTGTGTGGATACAGAGTTGTTGAATATTACTCATCGACACACTCTTTCAGAGGATGCGCTATCGGCTGTCTTCATGCAAACACCTAGTATGCAAATCAGTAGTCTATTTAATTGACAATCTAGTTTTCAGAGACATAAATAACAATGAAAATGGCTAAAGTTACCAGAGATAGCTCACCCTAAAGCCAGGTGGCCGTTCGGAAACTGCGTCAAATAGTGGGGATAGCCCAACAGACCCACGTAGCGCTCACCTGGGTTCCCAGTCGCTTTTCCAAGGTGGCGAAGCAACGTAAGGGAGAGCCAGTAGAAATCCTCCCTTTAGTTACAAACGATCTCCCGGTCACCATCTGTGCGCGTGAGAGTACGGCGGCATTTGATCAACGTGAACAATTTTTGGCTGAATTTCCGCTCCCATCGGAGGGACTCAGCTTCTATTGATCGCACTGGATACTGCTATCCTCATTCCATCATAACCGCTGCAGCCTGCTAGTGCACTGCAGGCACAATTTTTGATGATAGCATTACAGCGCTATATACAAGAACTAGATGCGTGATGTATAAACTGGGTTGCCATCTATTGAAGTGGCCCATTCTCTCAAAGGGCCGGACGAAATACTGCATGAACCCAAGACCATTATAAGCGGCAACACGAGCAACTTCCCAAGTCAGCGGCACGGGCTGACCGAGAGGCCCCGCAAAGCTATGGATCATCGGTACCAGGGCGAGCAAGCCCAGGGAGGCGCAGTGATATTGAAACTTGAGACTCGTCACGGGAGTGCCCGAAGGATGTGCCAGGACTTCGACCAAGTGTCCCACAAAAAGCAAAGAGATAGCGCAAATGTATCCAAGCTGCGCCACAGGGCGAACGGCGAACTGAAGAGCGACGTAGGAGACGGTGGTTGTATAAATCAACAACAGAATCCCTCCGAACTCCAGCTTCTCCCACTCACACGCATTTGCGGTACCGAGGACGAGAAGGACACGGTAGGCGAGACTCAGGAAACACCAAGAGATGACACCAACGCCGAAAAGAAGTGTCGCGAGCGAGTTACTGATGTCCGCATGGGACTCAGGGAAACGAAAGAGAAGGCATTGAAGTGTAAACAAGGCAAAGTAGGAGATCCCAAAAATATCGAGAATCACGATGACCGCGGAGTCTCGTAGAGTAAGAATAGTGGGACCATCTATTGAAAAGGTTACTTGTTCATACAGCCGTCAGGCGATTGAGAAGAGATTTGGCTTAGCGTTGGAGTCTGGGCCGTAACCTCTTTTTATAAGGGCAACCAGGCGGAAGTGCAATACAATTCGGACTCCTGTGTAGAGTGAATGCAGGGACAACGTTCATTCCGAGGTTACAGGAGTGTTTCCGCGGTTTCTTTGCTGATCCTACCTGCTGTTATCTTCCATTTCGTTGTTCTGCTGGCAAGGCTGGCTATTGGTTGTATCTGATTCGCAGAATTACTGTCATCTTCGTGACTGTCTTTTCTCTTCTATCGTTCAACATTGGTATCCTTCAGACTGCAAAGTCGCCACATGATCGTTCAACACGCGAATCTACGCGCGAGGGAAGGTATAGATAAATTCGCATTCTGGGGTTGCACTCAATGAACTCTATACACACTCCGTATCCAAATTCTGTAACCTTTCATCCGCCGGTTGGGCTCCACAGGACCCTAACTGAACAAATGGAGAAAGCAAATTTGAGGCACTGGTTAGAACAACTTGTAACTGGGCTAATCAGCGTCGGGGTAAAAAAGATAAAGTTAGACGCACTTACCCCCACAGGAAACAACGAACGATTGAACACATAAGCTAGTACGGTGATCAGACAACTGATCGAAGCTATGCTAGAGAGAAACCATGCCATACGCTTTAGTGTTAAACGCAACTGGAGACCGGGGATCGTGTATCGCACTAGCCACCAGTGGAACAAAGCGATGCGCAGATAGTCAAATGAGATGAACACAATGAACAGGCGTTGGGTTGGTGAGCTCGTCAGACTCCCAATAAGGCAGAAAACCAGCTTTGTTACTGTGGAGGTCCTAGCAAGAATGAAGCAGAATATCCTTAATCCGTGAGGTTGGAAGGTAGGATGTCGTAGGTGGACGTATATTTGAACAAACTGTGACAAGATCAGACCTCACGCGAAATCTTATTTGATCTTTGGGTGAAGAACACCATACCCCCGGTATGGAGACAACGACGCCAACTGTAGCAAGGAGGATTGCTATAGCAGGTGTGTTAACCTCTATCAATATGAGGGCCGACTGGGTCGCCAGCAATGCGCATGCCGAAATAGACAGTGAGAAGCTTAGTCGAGGAATGAGATTGACTGAGTTGACAGTAGGCAGAGAAAGATGCAGTGGAGAAGATGTAAGAGGAACGAGAGAATTGTCCAAATTACTCCAAACGGCTTCAGAATAACCATGTTCAAAGTGCAAAACTCAATAATCATGCTCCGTAGACATCTACTTGTGTCGCAGCTAGAGTAAAAGTAAATAAATGCGCTCCTATGGTCACCGCCAAATAGCATGTCCAAGGCTCCTGGGATCTCAATGGAGCTCTTCTTGTTTCCTGGGAATAAGTTGACAGTGCTGCTGCCACTGTTGAATAGTCTTAAATGCACCGAATAATTGTTCCGGTATTCATATTTCATTTCGGGAAGCTATCGAGACCCACCATTTTCGAATTACAGCACTGTACCTCCGAATCATTACGTACGCGTCTAATCTGATGCACCCACAGCACCGTAAGAGTAGAAATTCAATGGAATAACAGTCCACCCAAGCAGAACAGACCCCAAGAAAGCACTGGAGGAGGAATTGAACAAGCGCCACGATTTCTTCAGCATCGCTACACTTGACAAGTGATAAATATTCACTTGCTTGAAGAAATCGGAAGGGGGTTTGCACGAAAGACGACAAGGCTTAGATCTGGCGAAGTCTCTCTATATGAATGTTGCTACGCCTTGTCGATCCACAAGAGCATATTGTCAATATAGTAAACGTGTTCTCAAACAATTGCAGTACATATTTGCTTCGATGTCTGTCTTGTTGAGTTTATTCTGACGCTACAAGTACGGGGTGCTCTCTATCTGCTGTACATGTTAATGCTCTATCATTCAGCAAGTCCCGTGACAGGCCAGGACACTATTTGCAGAATAGTCCATTCACCATGAGGCTTTTCCTTTGGCTGCTGCAGGTGAATGCATGGATTGCTATTACTTCGGCCGTTTCCCATTCTGACAGCGCGAACAATTCAGCGCTCGGGACTCGTGCTGCGGGGGGATATCGCTCGGTGGCCTATTTTGTCAACTGGGTAAGTTATCATGGCGCAACCCGCCTCGTTCAAACTTGGTAGATTGGCTGACGTGCAAAGGCAATCTACGGCCGCAACTTCAATCCTAGTGACCTCCCTGTCGAGAAGTTGACGCATGTGCTGTATGCCTTTGCGAATATACGCCCCGATACCGGGGAGGTATACATGACGGATTCTTGGGCGGATGTAGAAAAACATTACTCCGGAGATTCCTGGGACGATGAAGGAAACAATATTTACGGCTGTGTCAAACAGCTCTTCCTTCTCAAACAAAAGAACCGAAACCTGAAGGTGCTTCTGTCCGTCGGCGGATGGACATACTCCGCGAATTTTGCTCCTGCGCTGAGTACTGCCTCTGGCCAGGCAACCTTTGCGTCATCTGCCACGAACTTGGTGAAGAACTTCGGATTCGATGGTATCGACATTGACTGGGAGGCAGGTTACGCATCCCCAGATCACGCTTCATGCTGTCGTACTAATGGTACCGCAGTACCCTGCCAGCGATACCCAGGCCAATAACATGGTCTCTACGCTTGAACAGCTGCGTACGGTGTGTACTCCTTGACCCAAGCTTCTGGGGAGTAGGTCTAATCTCACGGCTGGGTAGTCGCTAGATACCTATAGTGCTGCAAATGCGAACGACTACCACTTCTTGATCACGGTTGCCTGCCCAGCCGGTAAGTTGGATCAGCACCGGTGATATTCATCCCATTTGTGGCGAGACTGATCTCTAAGTAGGTCCAACAAATTATGCAAACCTTCATGTAGGCGGGATGGATACTTACATTGACTTCTGGAATTTGATGGCCTATGACTATTCCGGTAGCTGGAGTACAGTTGCTGGGCACGACGCCAATGTTTACGTTTCGACAGCCAACCCATCCAGCACTCCGTTCAATACTGACCAGGCCGTAGCCTACTACACATCCAAAGGAGTGGCAACTGACAAAATCGTGCTGGGTATGCCTCTTTATGGTCGATCTTTCATGGGCACAGCGGGACCAGGCATGCCTTTCACTGGGGTAGGCAGTGGCAGGTGGGAAAACGGCGTTTGGGACTACAAGGCACTGCCCCTGGCTGGAGCTGCCATCGATTACTTATCGCAACCGCTTGCTAGCTACAGCTACGATGAAGCGAATCAAATGATGGTCAGTTACGATACTCCTCAAGTTGCACGTGATAAAGCCCAATATATCATGACCAAAGGACTTGGCGGGGGGATGTGGTGGGAGAGCAGTGGCGATAAGAATGGCACTGACAGTTTGATCACAACGGTGTGTGACCCTGACTACCACCGGTGTGATTTTGCGTGGGGAGTGCGATTACTGATCAATTTGAAAAGGTTGTTGACACTTTCGGGATTCTGACTGAATCTTGGAACGAATTGAATTATCCCACCTCCTCGTACGATAATCTGAGAGCGGGGTTTCCGTCTAGGTAGCGTGGAAGCTCTATGGATTATCAGGACACCGCGTACATTGATTATATTGGTGGTTTTTTTATTTTGTATTTCATGGGAGGTTTCTCACCGCTGAGCGATTATAGCACGGTGACTAAGGCACGGTGACGTAGTTAACATCTTGTGGTCTTTCGTTTAAACGTCAGTCCATACATACGAGTACTGTGACCATGGCACATCACCAGGATCCAGTTTACGTAGTAGCCAAGCCGCTTGCCTGACATTCACAATGGAACATTTCATGACAGCCCTTCAATTTGATTTAGTTTAGTTACTCGATGTGGTCCGCCTGGTAAATCTCACACCAACATCTCGTGCCCACTACATCTGGGGCTGTCCGCTTCTTGTTATTATACGCAAATGTGCAAAGAAAGAGAGCTGTATTACACGATACACCATTCTGCACTAATACTGCCTTCATGTGTACAAATTGAATTGAGCCTCCATTGATATAGCCTTCATCGCCTTCGTCTCCCTTAAAATATAAAAACAGCCGCCGATAAGCGCGTTCGGACAGTCCAATTCAGCTTCTGAACTATTATATGAAATCCTTGACCTTAACGCCTCAAATTACGCATCATGGGCGATATAGCAGACATTGTGAGAGCAATTGGTCAGCAGCAAGGAGAATATGCATACTATCGCGCCTGTTACAGTCTCTTCAAACAGCTACAGGAGTTAGTAGCTGAAGTGACCAAGGACTTGGATGATTTTTATAAGAGCGAAAAGTGCAACCCTTCCGATGGATTCTCGGCTGTCTCCCAAGTTGCCGAAAATTTCAGGTTGTCAATTCAAAGCATCACGACTCAAGAAAAGAACGCACGGTTGGCACTGGCAGGCCTATGTCCATCCAACAGTTCGAACATCAACTCTGGCAGGGCAGGCAACACTGATTAGGTGATTTGGGTATCTTGCTTGGTTGGTTTCTGTGATGCTGTCAGAACAAAGAGATCGAGATCTTTCGATATTAGATCTCATGAACGGCGTCCTGTGAGGCTGGATATTCTCCGACGATCCAGCAGTAAATAAGAAAAGGGCTGTCTCAGCAAGGATGGTCGCCCGCGCGGGCTACCGTTCATCAAACTCTACCCTGTTCTTTTTGCGTTGGGATGGTATTCTTTTGGGTAATTTGTGTCCGAGCGCACAACAGTCAAATTCATCCAAGGTATTCAATAAAACGACTCTGCACGCCGTGGCTTGAAATCTGCGAAAGTATGGATCTGTGAACAATTGTCTTATTGTATTTGAATCAGTCGCGCACGCACGCCGCGTCTATAATGCTTCTCTATCCTCCAATAACAGCGTTGGTCACCATGACCTATGCGCAAGGTGAATTCAATAAGCTTTCTCAGAACACTTGTGCCCTGGTCAGACGATGGGCTCTTGCTACGAATGTAAACAGCTCTCTGAGCTACGTCCTACAAGATAACGCCTACACAGTATCCCTTGCCTCCAACTGCGAAAGCAGACTCGAGAGCGCAATATCGTCTTGTCGGTGATTTCATTAATTTTAGACCGAGAATTAGTGACTGACTTTTTAACAGGCCTCGTCAATTCTAAAGGAGGATGCAGATCTCTTAGACCCTCGTGGGATCTTCTTGGCCATCATGTGCGGGAACCCCTCATGAAACTCAAGAGATCGCCAGCTCGCCGAGATAATGCTGGCTGCTCCTGTGCCGCTCAATGCTCATTGCCGGCACCTGACGCAGTGACAACCCCGCCGACCGTCCCTGGAATACCCCCACAGCCTTCTGATACTTCAAACAGAGGGGCAATGACTCCCAGCAGCGCGGGGCGATGCATCTCATCAATGAGGACCACCACCTCAGCGGCTCAACCCCTTCAGTCGCCGACCGCCACGACACCCACTTCGTCCGATTCGGAGGTAGTTTGCATAATAAAAGCCGAGGACCTAAACTCCACCCCGCCAGGGGTCTGTTATTGTTTCGATGGCACCACCAGAGAGTGGCAAACCGGAGAGTGTCAGATTTATTCTTAGAGTTACTCCCCGTTGCCCAAATTCGATGTTCAGATACTGTGTGAAAAACAAAACATGTCTACTAATGAGTATTGATGCTAAACCTGCAAGAGGGAAGAAAGGAGAAACACCCATTTGTTATTAAGAGGTATGCGAGCTCAGGGACGGGTTGATTCGAGAGTCTCAATAACGCCATATTAGGAGTCAGAGTACAGAAATAGGATAGCCAGTGTAGTAGCTGGGATATAATGAAATAAGGTAGCCGGTAGTTTATTTATTTATTTATTTATTTATTTATTTATTTATTTATTTATTTATTTATTTATTTATTTATTTATTTATTTATTTATTTATTTATTTATTTATTTATTTATTTATTTATTTATTTATTTATTTATTTATTTATTTATTTATTTATTTATTTATTTATTTATTTATTTATTTATTTATTTATTTATTTATTTATTCCTCAGGCTTTTCACGACCTTAGGCCGTATGCAGCCCCCTGGCTAGTGTGCACTGCTCCGTTGACTATGTACATTTGGTAGGTTCACCACCGCGCGATCTTCTGTAATGCAGTCATCATTCCGCTTCACCCTTCAACAACCAATCGTTCTGTCTCCATTGCGAACGCGATGACAGCTCTGACGATTCTGATATCGGGCTTCCATGTTCTCCCATTAGGCTCACTTGCCCCGTCTACCCTCTCCGCTTTCCCTCCCAACATCCATGGCAGGCTACCAAAGTGAGGGCCCGCTGCTTCAATAAGCGCGCGACGCTGTTCGTTCCATCGTGTGCATCGGAGCAGGAAGTGCGCCACCGTTTCTCGCTCGACGCCACATACACACAAATCGCTATCACTCCGGCCGATACGATGAAGATACCCATTGAATCTGGCATACCCCGTGCGGAGTTGAGCTAGTATCGACGCTTTCTCCCGGTTCAGACAATCATATAACATCTCCGTATGAGGTCCTGGGAGAGCAGAATCCAGCTGGCGTGTAAACTGGCCAGTGGTCGACTGTTGGAAGTTATCCTTCCGGTGCCGTTGAGCATTGGCCCGTGCCCATCGCAACGCGGACGCCCGGAGCTGGACTCGCGCCCATGGCGGGGGGTTAACTTCGCTGTTCTCCGTTGTTGCTTCGCGTGCTAGGCTATGCGCTGGTGCTGTATTCTCACTGTCCTCTTCTGTAGGTGGCTGCAGGTTGACCTTAGCGCCCATCTCCGTCAGTCTATTGATTCCCTCCGTAATCTGGGTGATCAGAGCCTGTCCGCCCTGGAGATGTGGCTTTGCGAGCGATAGCAGGACCGTAGGGTTGTTCACAACAATCGTAATGTGCATTTTCCACGGTGACATCTGGATACGAGGGAGCATCGTCTCGATGTACGAGACAGCCTCCAACACCGCCCCTATATGGGCGTAGTGAGCGTTGAGCGTATCGTCGCTGCCGACCGTCCGGTTCGACGAGACAATGTCGACTTGGTTAACGCGAACAACCAGCCCGGCTCCGATCAGACCATTGCGGACGCTGAAGCTGGTGAACAGCCACAGGCGGGCATGGCCGGCTTCATGTAACTCATGCATATTCGATCCAACGGTGGTGATCAAATCACTGAGAGACCGTTGCCACGGGTCTAAAGGGAAGGGCCGAATGACCTCTAGGTCGGACAAGCATTGTGGCCCATGTTTCGCCAAAATCTTGAACGGTGACAGGTAACTTCCCTCCTGCATTGCTGCAGACGCTCGACAGGACCAGAAAGGATGGTCCTTCGGTAGGGTGTGACAGGAGATCCAGTGCTTCACGATGCGTGCTCGAAGGCGTACGATAGTCGGTTCAATCCCCGCCTCCGCTTCCGCAATGGCGAGAGCCGTATTTCGGAACACGCCAGTTATTGCCTGCGTCGCAACCCGCTGGGTAGCTTCGAACGGCCGTCCAATTCCCGGGGCGACGATAGTATCCTTTCGCATCGAGCACCACACCGACGCTGCATAGTCGATCTTCGATGCAACCGTTGAGATGAATAGCTGGCGAGCCACAGATGGTGGCAGCCCCCGCAGACGCCTTAGTGCAAGGACGGCTTTCATTCCCTTGCCCGCCGCCCTTCCGATATGTGATTTAAACCGTAGATCCTGGTCGAGTATCACGTCAAGAATCTTAACTTCAGGTGCCGGGGCAACAATCGCTCCATCCACGTATAACGGAACCGCGGGGAGTTGGCGATGCCGCTGGTTCCTCGTGAAGTGAATGATGTCTTTTCGGCCTCGAATGCTGCGCCAGACCGCGCCGCCCACTCTAACGCCCGCGGAATGACCTTCCGCTGGAGCGTTGCTGTGTTCGCCTCGGCCGACGAGCCCACCGTCCATCGTGTATAATCGTCGACGAATGCGATCGCTCCTTTCTTCTGGTGATAGGAACATCGACCAGATTCGCATTCAGGAACAAGAAGAGAATGGGAGAAAGCGGTGATCCTTGCGGCAAACCCGCGTGGTGGATGGCCATTTCCTCGGACTGGTACGCATTCACGGCGATCGTAGCGCGCCGGTAGGAGCAGAAGCTACCGACCCACCGGATCAGGGTCTCAGGGATCCGTCGCTCTCGCAGTCTCCGTAACAGAACGTCCGGGTCCACCCCGTTGTAGGCACCCTTCACATCGAAGCTCACGAGGCTGAGGACTTTGCCCTCGCGCCACGCATCGTGGATCTTTTCCATGAGAATGTTGAGCGCTTGCTCGCATGACCGCCTCCGCCGGGCCCCGAAGTGATTCGGGGGCAGTAGCTGGTGTTTTTCGACTAGGGCTGCGATTCTGTTGGCGACGACTGCTTCCAGCACCTTTCCAAGCGTCGCCAACAACGAGATAGGGCGGTATGACTTCGGTAGCGATGGGTCACGTCCTCCCTTCGGTATCACCACGATCTTAGCAACCTTCCAGACGCTAGGGAAGTAGCTGAATCGGAGTGACGCTTGAAAGATTTCGACGACCCAGTGTTTCGCAGTAGGCCATATTTGTTGCCACACCACCACCGGCAGCGCATCCGGTCCGGGGGCTCTCCACGACGCCATCCTCATCAGAGCCACCTCGATCTCGTGTGGGGTAATCGTTTCCATTGGAAGGGCGTCCGGCAGCGGCCTGTCTCTCGGCGACTCATCCTGGATATTGGGCAGCGGGGGAAAGAAGGTCTCAAGGAGTGCATGGGCCTTTCCCTGATCATCATTAATCGTTTGGTCACCTGAGCGCAGAGTGGGGACTATCCCCATGGAACGATCTCCCGGCTGGAGGTATCGTGCCGCTTTCCAAATGTTGTCGGTATTGTCGAGGAACTCTCTCCAATGCCGTCGCTTGGTGTCACGGATTGCTCGGTGGTACTGTCCCCGCAGGTATGATGCGGTGTCTTCCAGCGCAGCAAGGTCGACTCCATACCGCTGAGCTCGCGTGCACCGATTTCGGGCCCATGTGTACGTGTCTCGCAATGCCGTTAACTCCGGAGTCCACCATCGTTTGCTGTATGGGGATGGCCGCGCAACCGGGACTAGCTGACGAATTGCTAAGCTGATCCTGCTAGTCAAGCGCCCCGCAGTCGCGTCCAGTTCTGAGCGGTCTGTGATATCTATGATCTCCGTCTCTAGGTCTTTTAACTCCCTGTTGATGTCGGCCCATGGAGCTTCGCGGAATGAGAAGCGGGTTGTCGGGGGGAGCGTTGGTCGCGCTTCGCTCTGGAAGGTTGTTTCAATTGCACGATGGTCTGACCCATGCTCAACGGGGTGGACGCGACACCGTGTGACCCGTCCGCTCAGCTCCGTCGACGCGAGGACAAGATCGATGGTCGACCGATGTGGGCCTTCCTCCCGGGTGAAGATCCCTCGGGGCAGTAAACTTGTTAGGCCCCAGTCTGCCATGAGGAGCACAATTGGTTCCGCTTCGCCCTGACGGCGCCGCGTTGCCACACGATTTCCTCCCCAGAGCTGATCGTGGCGGTTAAAGTCTCCGACGATGAGGATACCAATCTTGTCCCCGTACTCCCTCCGGACCCGTTGATGGGCATGCCGGATTGCTTCCAGCCCTTGAGTTAACGTCCAAGTTCCATCGAGACCTCTCTCCGGTGGAATGTATACAGATATCGCGAGCGTCGGCGATGGTGTGAACAGCAGCACGGCAGTGATGTCGGGGGATGCAACATCGACCTGTCTGTGCGGCAATGTCTTTTTGTTCGCCCAGATCATGCTGCGGTACGGCCTCATCCTCCCGGATGGTGGGTGCCGCTGCGAGGGCCAGAGTGGTGTCCAATTGGCATGTGAATGGGAGCATACCGTGTCGTCCAGGTATTTATAGCTCACTTGGCTGGCATTCGCCTCGGCGAGAGCATGTGCAATTGCTGCGATGTTTTTGATCTAGTCCATGTTAGTCGGCAAGCGAGAAGTACACAGCAGCGCTCTGGAACCCACCTCTCGTCCATTCAGGGCTAAAGACTCCAATCGTCGGAGGTCGTGCTCCTCAACAAGGGCAGGTCCTTGCATTGTACGTGCCCTGGACAGAAAAGTTGACCAGAGACCTCTGCGAAATTCCCTGCTCAAGTCTTTATACTTGACGATTAAATGGATCCGACTAAGGATTGCATCAACCTCCATGGAAGGCAATACGACGCTCCATGAATTAATCCGCTGAGTACTGTATCAATTTGTTCAAGATTAAGGAGTGAAAGGATCGAACCCAAAGAAAAAGCGGTGGCATAATATCAGTGGGCCAAGAAACAAGATTGGCAGGGTAACAAAGTAAAGGGCCGGGAAATGACTTGAAAACTAGCGCCTCAAAGTTCAACCGGCAACCAATTGGCGAGGCAGGTTTGGGCAGTCCTGTCCACAAAACCAAGTGCAGTCGGGCTGTTATGCTTGGGTGAATGCACATTTAACCTGCACATTTAACCTTCCGTTGCGCTCGCCCTCTCTGTCTCGTTTTTAATGTCCTTCTTGTACCCAAGAACCTTCTCTCTTCAGTTGGCTCGCTGCCTCCTTTGCTTTTACCGCCCATGTTTCAACACCAGCAACAGCCCCGAAAGGCGAGTTCTTCTGCTCCATCAGGAACGACAAAACTTCAGCCGGACTGAAAACTTGATCTGGCACCTTGGAAGCAAAGTCGACAGCAAGCCTCTCAATCGTCTCATCGCCGAGTTGTTTCTTGGATTGCTTTTGGTCGGGCATCTGCTTGAAGACAGTGTGAAAAAGTTGGGCGGACATTTTCCTATCGGCAAGTTTAAAATGCACCTTTTTGTCTGTGCGGCCAGGTCGAATGAGTGCTTCGTCCAAATGTTCGATGTGGTTGGTTTTCATAATGAGCAGTCGACCTTCCTGTGATGACACACCATCAAGAACATTAAGAAGACCAGATAGGGTGACTCTAGAGCCTGAACTGCTCTCTTGGTCTACATCTGCATCGTCTCTTCGTCCCATCCCAGCGGTGTCGATGTCCTCCAGGAGAACAATACAGCGCGGTGGAAGCTCAGCAAATAGCTTCATCAGCTTGCTGTCCGTCGCTGTCAACTACAGCATCGGATCGACGGCTAGCATAGAGAATTAAGCAAGACTGGGAGTATCCGCGGGTTGGAAGTTGCGGTTGGGAGTTCGCGGTTAGGAGTTCGTGGTTTGAAGTTTCACGGGCTGGAGTTCGCAGTTCTGGATAGCAACAGTAAGATCTCACCTCCACTGGGCACCTTATGCGACATATAAGAGCCAAATCATCCCCGAAATGGCTGAAGTGTCTTCGAACCTTGAAAGTTGAACCAGCGACTGCCGTCTGGCAACACACGACCAAATGGCCCCCACGAGGCGACTCCAGATCTGGTTAGGCTGCCCCCGCCACCAGCCTTCCCATTTCTTTCCAGAGCAGACAGGCGGTAATACCCGTTGTCCGATTGGGCGAGTGATTTTAAACAAGCCAACAAAGATTTAAGTCATCTATTCCCCTGGTTCACTCTGGTTAACGCGGGCTAACTTGCAATACAGTTCTCAGGCGAACTCATCAGGGCCTGATGCCTGATTGAGCGTCTCAATTTGTCAGGCACTCGATCATTTGAATCGCCCACTCTTTCTGTAACAACCTCCTTCTATTCCTTGCACGCAACGTATCCCTTGATATGACAAGGCGATCAAATTTCGCTCCAAAGGAGCGGGGCTTTGTTACGATGCGTGCACTTATATGGTCGCAAGAGGAGATAGTTATTACAGTTTATTTCCTGTCCCGACAGGTTCGTCCTCGAACGCTGCATTCCCTTCTTTTACGTCGAGGCTACCACCGTTCAAACCGCGCTATTGAACGCAAACTCTTCTCTATAATCCAACAGCACCCACATCTGAGACCACTTGAGGGCCATTGGGATTTGGATGCTGTTGATAGGTGGATTGACGACTTGCTTGGAGATCATGAATCAGTGAATAATCTAATTCGATTTTCAAAAGAGGACGCAGACGACGTGATACTTGTAAGCTATGCTCTTGGAATGATTTTTAAATTATGCTTACTTTCTCCTGCTCAAAATAGAACCAACAGATTGAAGAGCCTTTGGAGCTCCACAGCGTTCGTCGTATGGAGCCAAAAGATGCTGGAGCTAGCAGCCTGGACAACCGGTTCAACACTAGTGGTGATGCCCTGCTTGGTTGGAGCTAGGGTTGTAACGGAGGTAGATATTGTAGCCTCCTCTTCCTCAAAGATCTGAGCAGCAACGGTGGCAGTGGGGAAGATTTCAGTATCGGCGATCGTAGTGGCCCGGTCAGGAAAGAGAGCTGTAGACACATCCACAGTCTCCCAGGCAACATTGGTGACGGTCTTCCATACGAGGACGCAGTTTTTGGCAGTGGTGGCCAATCCAGAGACGACAAAGATGGCGAACGTAAGGGTGATGGCCTTAGAGATTGGGGTCATTGGGCTGTTCAGTCGGGTTGATCGGGGCGGTTGGGGTTTGCAAAAGAGGTCCGGTTAACCGTAAGCAGCTGTGGCCGACAGCACGAGTACTCTAAGGGAGCGTGAACGTACCGTAAAGAGAAATCAAGAGTCCAAAGATAATCCCGTGGTGGAGCGGATAAGGAAAGGGAAGACCTGGGGGGATAGGTAGGAAATAGTAATCCACGGCAGTGAATCCCGTGCATGGGCATGCAGTCTATAGTTAAATTGGTTTAAAAATGCCCCAGGATTCCAAAACGGTACAGGGACGTATGCAAATATCTGGACCAAAGATAGGATTTCTCAGGAGATCTGGCAGTTGGGGGGGCGGGGGGACCGGAGGAAAGGAACAGCCTTGGAGGTGAGCGTGATCCTTTCAGTGCAAGGAGCTGAAGTTGGAAGTCCCTCTTGCACATAGTGGATACCTCGTCGGTGGACAACATCCCGTTCAAGATGACACAAACACGTTCAATATGAGTGAAATCAACCGAGTGTCGTTCACACCGAGGTGCTGATTACTGCCAGCCTTGTCCATGTCAGAAGCCACATTTCCTGTAATCGGCGATGACGAGTGCCATGTGGCCAAAAATGTAAGGAAAATTGAGTTGCGGATTGCTCAGAATACCTTTTCACTTCTAAAGGCACAACGTGAACTGTCCGTGACCATTCTGGTGGTAGATATAAATGTATTGTACAAGGCTTACTCGGGACAACGGAAGAGCAATGAGAACGGATTCTGACTCAAGCTGATCTCCTTTTGACCGCAGGCTTGTAGAATGAAACATGGGAGATTCTTGTATCGCGCAGACCGCACCAAGATTGCATGGAGACCATAGAAGATCTGTTCTTAAACTATTCCCTTGCCCCCTCCCCCATAAATCAACCTTCGGTCCCATTATGCTCGAATATATTGCATGTATTGGGCAAATGAGTCCCAGACGGCCTTCCGTCGTTTCGGAATGGAGGATGTCGGCGCCTTGGGAATTGTTAGATTCGTTGGTCTATCGGAGACATAGTCTGCAGGGGTTTTGTGGACTGCCGGTCGAGAACGAGCATTCTGCATTGTTTTAGAATCATCCACGATGGTCAATACTCAGAAACTTACCATCTCGTCCCTTGTCGGACGAGGAACATCCGGATGAGAATGATAAGTGTAGATTCGGCCATTTGGCATCTCCATAGTCAGCCAGCTCCGGATGGAGTAAAGACGCCAAAAGTCGTTATGGCGTCGGAGAAGGTTGTTACGCCGCTTGCGCAACTGTTCCTGTTTCACGCGAGTCTTCTTTGTCGCCATTTACGATTTTTGAAGACGATGATGGAGACAATGTCCAACTGAACCAGTCGACAGGAATTCTGACGGTTGATACTTAAGTTGACGCGCTCGGTGGGGATGGGGTACGGTTTGCCGCTTGCCGTGGTGTGATGGCGAGCTGTTGGTAGCTGGCGACTTGCGCCTGCCTTTGAGTATTGGGCTGCCGCTCAAGACAGAATGAAGAGAAACCGGGAAGAGCAACTCAAAATACGGGACACTTGTACACCAACGACACTTGGATTTTTAAAATGTTCCGCTTAAGAATTTCGAGGAAATTATATACGGTTGATTACCACTTACATCAGGAGGACTAGTCACTCACCTTCACGAATGTAAATACACCACTCTCAACTATTCAGTGATACCTGCCGCACAGTGTTTGAATAGGATTGATAGGTTATTCTGTACAATATAGCTCTTCCGGTTGCAGACCTGTTCACGAATGATTTAACGGCCACCAGAAAGGAAAGTGCCCAGCCCCTCAGTGGAAATGGCTATCCGGATGGAAGTGGTGCGAGCCCCGGTGAAGTCCTATTTACCATCGCATGTCGCTGTACATCTGACATATGGCACAAAACAGACAGTGGTCCTATACTAGTGGCTAGGTCAGATCCATCAGTGGGGATTTGGCCTTACATGCTATTTCAGTTGACCCGAGCGGATACAGTACAAATAGAGCCATCCCAAATTTTGTAACCCCGATAGTAAACTGGTAACTATGTCGACCTGAGGATTTGTCTGGGAACTATGAACAGGATTTCCAGCTGGCCTCAAGGACTGGTCAGAAAGACTCGAACCTCCTAAGCCAAGAACCGCCCCGCCCCGAAAGAATGCGCCCTTTCGAGTCTCACCAAGAGAGCATTGAACACTGAAAGAGGCAGGAAAACAATGGTCTTGTATTCTCGACTAGTGCTGACAATCGATCTCGAGACAAAACTATCATGGCAACAGATACATAAAAACAACCCGTCCAGTTCAGGAGGGCTATATACATCCCATGATGGTCAAGAAAGATTTGCTGCTGTGTGAGGCTTATCACGCTCTAATGCATTATTCCACCTGATTCTGACTCTCTTTTATTTTTTCAATTTCTTATCTGTATCTAGGGTTACTATTGCATATAAAATTACCCAAATAAGTGTCAAGCTTATCATCCGCGTGTAATATCGTAATCAATAATGACTGCAAGCCTCACAGGACCGGGAGCGAGCTTCCCACCAATACCGCCAATGTCAGCAACAGCACTTGTGTAGGCGTTGTAAACGACGGATGCTGCCGGACCAATAACAGAGCAGATATGAGTGAGAACCTCGCAGACCTTCATACCCTGAACCTCAAGGCCAGCGTTTTGCGCCGCTATAGCGGAAACATCGAACCCCGACCAGCCCAGATTGGTAGCGGAACCAAAGTCAAATTCACCCCAGGTCGAAGCGTAGCCACCATTGTCATCAACTGGAACAGGAGAACCAGGCGCTGCAGCCCATCCACCCTGGGAATCTTCATCAAATGCGAAGTAACGAATTTGGCCAGCTTCCAAAGCAAAAATTTTGCAAGCCTTGCCATACCACCCTCCCATTGTACCGTCGGGCCCAATCTTGTTCCAGATCACGATAGTCCAGGCTTCACCTTGCTCCGGGCCTTCAAAACGCACAACGTATTTATATTGGTTCGCGTGTGCACCTGGGACTTCAATGATGTTGCTTCCATATGGATTACCGACGTTGCCCGAGTATTGCACACCTCTGCCACTGGAGTTTGTAGATTCACCGAATCCGAGAATCGAGTATAGTTCTCTAGAGCTGACTCGAACCTTGTTTGGGGCTACCCGTGATGTCACAGTATGATGGAGGCGGCCGTAGGCCTGGAAACAAATTCCTGGACCGCCAATGGCCGCGATCCAGTAGAGAATACGCATAGTTCCACAACCAATTTCTTATTCGAATTCGATTGAAAAAGATCTTTTCGAGAGCTGAGGAAGAGAGGTGTGGTGGGTGCTTTCCCAGCTGGCTCCCGCTCTTGGAGGCTAAATTATGGATGCGAGAGAGAAAACGCACCGAATTGCATTTAAAGTCTATGACCAAGGAGACAGCCCAGACTAACGAGACCACTGGCTTCGTCACATGAACTGGTGGGACTGTTTATTCCGAACTAGGTAGACACCATCCGTCTATTACTAAGGTCGTAGGGTCAAGCGTATCGGTGTGAACATAGAAGTGGCGGTGATTGGGCTTAGAGTTTTCAGTCAGAGAAAAGCCTGGCCGCTCTGAATTCTAAATGAATGTGGATATTTTCTGGGAAGCTGCCAACCCTATACTCTGAGCGAATGAGTGTACAAAGGCCTAGATCACTGCTGGATGCGCGTTTAAAGGCAGCCCCTGGTTGCTATGAACCGAGGTGTGCTTGTTGCACAGACAAAACGGACAATGTCAACCTATTAAGCTTTGCCACATTAAACATCTCCAATCTCTGTCCGAATGATGAGCTGGTAAATAGGGATACCCATGGTTGACAGTTTACTCACTGAGAAATTCAAGCGCCCTGGTTCATTTGTGACCACCCGGAGTAAATTCTTTCCATCTGGAGCCTTCGCGATGATGACCGATTGTACCTATTCTAGACGGGGTATTTTGTGTAGACGGTCAAGACGTCCCTAGTAGTTGATTTATTCACCTGAGTTAATAACCTGGATTGGCTTCACGCATGGAGCAAAGATGACTGATAAAGTTGACCGAAAGTGTAAATGATGATTTGAAAATAATCTTTATTCGTTACGTTCGCATCAGCTAATCAATTAGCAAAGGTGACTTCCGTTTGCGTAGTTCAAATCACTAAGTGAGTTATGGACAGATATGCGTATGTATAATTATGAGGAAGTTTAACCACCCAATTCATCCCAGTTGACAAATGACCGACATCTATCCACGTGTGAGTTGACTCTCCTGTAAAGAGGAGGAGGAGGATATCATTTACCCTGGCCTCTGGCCTTAACGGCGAGAGAAGAACGAACGCCTGTGCTGTATCCTACCACAAGGAACTATTTACCACAGTCGGCCAAAATTAACTACGTAAAGTGAGATGAAAAGCCCCTCCTTCTCCAGGACAAGATACATTCGGTCCGACGAAAGGGAAACAGCTTGGGGCATTAACTGAATTTTTATAGATACGGCGAAGGATAAAATAACCAATTCGAGTTCCAGTTGTGGACCGAGAAATTGTCAAATGCCGATGATAAGTGCATTTATACGTTGAATCCAATATTGGTATGGCTATTTCAAATACATCATAAATTTGTACATGTATCAGGGTAGTCTGCGCCAAACACAGGCCCTCCCTGGATCGCACATAGTTTTCCATGGGTGTTCCCCAGAGCTATTACGGGCCTCCTGAGGCCGGATTAACTTATACTTGAACGTTATAAACAATCAAGGCTAAAACTTCCGATAGTCCGTTTTCATCTGACCGAGGGCAACCGAGCAGGCAAAGAGGATCAAGATGAACGGTGGTCTGGCCGAATTTGCCTCACATTGTGACGGGTCGAATGCGGATGTATTATATGAGACTGGGCTGAATGAAACTCTACACGTTTGGTTAGTTGATGATTTGTCTACTGTGGCCTTTTCTACATACTGGATTTGGAAACATCTTGCATCAGGCTCTCTTCAACGTTGCAAGAACTGCACGGAGCGGGCGACTGTAGAGTCTTAGAAACATCATTCGGAATAATCTCAACTGTCAGATCGATTTACGGTTAAAATACTGTACAATAAATTACCGTACCTTCACATTTTGTGACCGATGACCTGGATCAATGACGAGACTAGTAACCTAATCGTTTTAGTTAAGCAGCTGTGAGCTTCGGGGACGGGCACAGAACGTACCGGGATCGAAAACACTGTAACTAACCAAGAGAGCACACGGGATGCCATCTGAGCAGATTGTTCATTTGGAATGCTTCATATAAAAGGTCAAACTCATATAGAAAGCAATGTCAATATGCATAGTTGCTTCTAAAAATTATAGTCAATTTGGGCTTTTTATAGGCTCTGCAAACAGCGTACTGAGATTCTCAAATGCCGGGGAATCGGCCGCCGTGTAATCTTGAACTCTTGTCTCTATCATTAGAAGCAACCATCTGCAGAAAGAAATAGAGACAATTTGAACACTATCGCTTTCGATCTGGAAGCGTTTATGAAATACACGCCAAGTGATTGCGTGTTAGTGTGTTCTCGTCTCGTTCAAATCAAGCACTCAAATCTTGATTTAGACACTGGAGAATGCACATGGTTTTCGAGAGGTGGTGAATTGAACCGATAAAGTTCCGACTCAATCCAGGAATTCCCTATAAGAAGAATTTCTCATCAGTATTATGATTGATCACTCGTCACAAGTCTAGCCCCGATTGAATGCTTTGAAGTAGACTTATGTCACCACCAAGTTGTTATGACGACACGTCTTGTAGCGGAACCACGCTGGGTTCTCAGGATTCAGAGCCCCAGGATGTCCCAAACTCAGAACTTGACTCCGATTATGTCCCTTCGGAGATGAGTGAAGATCGAGCATTCGTTACTTCGGATACAGAACAGCTCTCTTACTTCTCAGACAACAGCTCCAATGCGGACCCGATCATGAGCATAATATATGACTACACAAGCCACGAGGACCGAACGGTATGAGACAACCCCTATGTTGCCGCCCGGCTTGTCTCACCATTCTGTTTAGATCCCCTGCCTCGGGAAAAAACCGATCAAGGCGATAGCAAAAAGAAAAGTTACCCAAAACGGCCAGTGGAAGACCGAGTATCTAGTACTTTGGTGCTCTTGGGAGAGCTTGGATTAGAGATGGCGAATAGAACCAGAATTTGGGGATGAACGGGCTTTCTTTACTTCATTTTTCACAACAGTGCCTACACAGTACAGTGACAGTATCGAAGAATATCAGCCAGTCATAAGAACTAAAATACGAAAAGCATCCTTGGAAATTGTCGCTTCCCGCGGCAGCCCAAGCCTTAGTTAATCCAGAAAAAATCCTCAGAAAGATGCCAGCACGGAATCACATAGCCTGTGTGAAGATTTGATGGTAGCAAAGGAAACCAAAAATCCCCTGTACAGCCTTATGATTTCCCAACTTCAGGTCTTTGATAAATGGGTAAATAAACGGAAGGCAGGGTTCCTTGTGCAGCTTGAGACGATATTGTCCATAATTCCGACTCTCATCAAGAAATGCAGATAATACAGGTTCCAGCTCGACGCCTCCGTTTGATAGCCCACGTAAAATTGCCGTAAGCGAGAAAAAATCTCGGTGGTTGTAGAGTTCCTAGACAGTGTGAGTTACTAGCTCATTGGATAATATAATAGAACCAACCTGAGAGAGCCCTAGTAGCTTGGTGTTCAGCTGTCCTGAAGCTGCAATCTCCTCTGCCTCGTGGCAGAGGCAGCTCCATCGACGTGCGAGCGCTTTCAGATGACAGCCATCGTTCCAGACACCCTCAAGACTGATTTGGCGAAAGGACCGTAGTATGTCGCGAGTCAGGATTCTCGAGCCACTGACTACAGACTGATCGATTACAAGGGTCAGTAATGCGGTGGCGGTTTGGAAGTAGGACCCATTCGCAAGGTCTACACTTCTGCAATATCGCTGGTAGCGAGTTTCGAGGACCGCGAACTGACAGATGATGTCGTTCGTCGGATTTGACAGCAATTCTTTAACTGGGGCCGTAATAGGTGATGTATCCAGTGTCAAAGCCTGGTACGGACTGCGATCTTTGGCATGTGTGAGACCGTGCAGGAGACTGGCGTAAAGGAGCCGATCGTGTGTTCGAATGTTCTACCAGGTTTAGTCTGGGCGGGTCCAAGACAAAGTGTGTGTTCATACCGATACTATAGAATCGTATGTGGTGATCTCATCGGGAACTTGACGAAGGAAAGAAAACAGCGAGAATGCTAGTCTGCTGTAATATAGCCTGAAAATCTTTATCTTGGTCGACGGCATACCCAACACATCATCAGCCCAGTCCCGGAGATCCAGACCCTTGAACATATTCCAGCTGTCCCGCAGGAGTTGCATGGTGACTGCCCCGGTATCTTCTTCATGCTTTGAGAAAATTTTCCAGGATACTGGGCTATCCTTCAATAATTCCTTTCTACAATGCCAGGCGCTAGGAAAGCCGTTGTTGTCACTCGATAAATCTGCGTCCTCAAGCTGTCGGGTAACCTCCAAATCCACCATTGGCCATGGCACTTCAAATACCGAGTGTCGTATAACCGGCACTTGGGGCGCCCGGTCGGCTATTTGCAATGATAGTATGCAGATTCCGGGAAAAGGAATAACCGAGATTGTTTGTCCTGGGGGAAAGTAGACGGCTCCAACCTGCAGACACAGGCCGAATGCTAACAGCGGCTTAAGAGCGCAACTAGGCGAACGATGCGTCAACGCTCCGCTTTATCCTTGAGATATGCTGATGGTTGCTAAAGGATGGTAGTTCTAGCAGACAAATGAGAAAACCCAAGGTGCTGTCAAAAATCCCCACTTTAATGGTACCCCTTGAAGGTGCCGCAGTTCCAAATCGATCTGGACAAACACTAGGCGCCAGTCCATCAAGAAAACGCATGCCTACTGTAACTTTCAACATTTGCTACAGTCTTCATATCCTAATTTACTTGGGGCTTCTGAGCTCGAACTGTATCTCATTGTATTTGATCCAGTACGGCCTCAAATTGAAGGTACCACATTCCAACTATAGATGCGGAACGCTTAGACGTTGTTATTATGCGCCCTCGATGAAAATACGACCGGTGATCATTCAGCGCAGAGCTACGCATGAAAACATAATTCGATTGATCAATATGCGCTAAGGGTTTATCAAGAAAATGCTGGGTACGGTGTGCCTAGTTCCAGTGAATCAACAATCCCAATAACAACCAAGCCCCGCTTCCGTCCCTTTTAATTAACGACATTCGCCCCAAGTACGGATGGACGCACATAACTGCAACTCTTATTTCCGTAGTTTCACATGGTAGACCGGGATATCCTGTCACAATATTATAACTATCTACCGTCTATCTTGATTGTTAGAAGACAAACACCATCCGTCAGCTCTATATATACCAATTTGTAACTCGTCACCATCGTGCCTTGTTGAGCCTCGAGTGGCGTGAAACCTATGACGAGCTAAAGTTTACCAATCAGCCTTATAGTCCGATGAGAATTCTACCACTCCACCGATTTCCGCGACGTGCTATTCATTCGCTCAGGTACCGGCACCTTAAACTGAACTGGGAGGCAAAACTCACACTAAAGCCTCGGAATATCGTACTCATTTGCAAGAAGCCAGCGTATGGCCTACTTCGCAAAGTAGCCAGGAGAGGGATTCGATCAATTGCACGGCAGGCGCAAGCTGCCGACCATGGAACGATGACAATAGCTCGCAGGGCGATTAAATCCTCTTTCACAGAGTGTGTTCAACAATTCCATCATTATCTTGCCGAACAGATTGATCAATCGACACACATTACCCAAGAACAGGTACTCGGTAGAATTGCACAGCGGTTCCCCAAGTACAAGTCGGTGATAAGTGCAATTCCGGTGGCAGCGGAGTGTATCCCAGAAGGGTTGAAACAGGACCTGGTTATCAGAGCGCAATCCAAGTCATTCAGAATCGCTTTGGTACTGCTTCACACCTGGGCAAAAGAATGTTGTGATCCTCTCCCGTGCTGGTCCCAACAAAATTTCCCAGCATTAACGAACTAGGAGATCGCTGTTGACAACTCATCGCCTCAGGGCCTACGGATATGGCTTGGTACCACAGCATGACTGTAATCATAATCCATTCAATTTACCGCAAAAAACACACGGTGGTGGGTGCTTGTTGAATCAGCTGGTTTTTAGTGGCAAAATACCACCTCTCGGATTGAGAAGGCGAAAAATCAGCTTAGTATTGGTCGGTTCATGTATTATCAAACACCATTTCCTACGAAACTTTCTTCTATAGTAATATACTTGTAATATCGGCCGGTAATAGGGGCTGTTAGAGCCGTTTATCCACCCTCACATCTGGCCAATAATCTGGATGTTCAGGTGACCTAGACACAGATTCGTCCAAGCGCATTCGCTCTCATTTCATCTTGCTCACGGTTCTCAATACGACTATTCTGACACCCATCTCTTGTCGACAGAGTTTGCCGCAGCCGTAAAACGATAATCTACACTTGGTCAGCCCACAGTGTGTATTCATTTGGGCCAGATTATCCTTCACCTGTCCAAAGCTCCACTTTGTTCATTGATTCGGCAAATTGTCCAAAGACAGATTTCACCCTCCGATCCGCCTCTCTCTTGTCCAGCGTTCCTTTTTCAACCTGATGTCGTAAATATCTGGCTTGGTGAAAAGCCTTGGTGAGGTCATTGCGTGCTTGTATCGCGCTTTTGACCGACTTCCAGTCCGCGGTCTTCAAGACCGCTTTGTAAAAACGCCAGTCCTCCCTCAGCTTCTTTGAAATGGACCAAGATTCACAAGTTGACCAAAAATTGAGTGCACTTATCCAGTCTGTAATAATTAGATGAGAAAATACACCTGAAAGGGAAACCATGGACGAACCGTGCCTGATGTAAGGGGGGGGGTCACCGAGTGAGTCAGCGGCATAGGACATGGTGTTTCTTACTCCAGTCGCATATCAGAATCCGAAACCCACGGTTCACTAGGGCTTAGAGGATGGGTGGAGGGGCGAATATTAAATAAAATGCGAGCCGACTCGTGCCACTATAGAAGCGGCATTCTTGCACGTACCCCCTTTGCTTTCTTGATGGCTGAGCTAAATCCTTTCTTTTCACTGTTTCACGAGTCTCTATCCATGGAAGTGTTTTATGAGGATCCAAGCATCCATGAGAGAAATGTTGGGAGGAGTATAAATCCACAATTGTGCCATTTGGATCGACGTTGCCTATCCATCGTCGAGGACCCACTACTTCCTGCAACAGTAAAGGGTTTATCGAAAGACTTTATGGATAATATCATACAATGACTTCTGTACCGACTCCTCCTCAGGGGCTAGTCTTTACTAGTGTATCAACTTCATACCATCGGCTAGCCTCCGAGAAGGCATCGTCGCGGACACTGCAAGCATACTTCGCACGGCTCTCGTGCACCCATCTAAGCTCCAGGCTTGTATCTGATCAGGTAATTTTCTTGCGGCTCATACGACTTGCTCTACCAGCCCCCCTCGGAACGGTGGCTGATACAAGTCAAGATACTTCCGAACACGAGGGAGACTGAAGAGGCACCTTCAGAAAATCCTTCGGGTAGTGGGTCTGACTTCACTCCGTCAACAACATCACCAGAAGGTCTGCCAAGCACAACGGAGTTCAACAACACCCAAGACCAGGAATCTATTGCGACCAGCCCTCCGGACCCAAGTCCCCTCGGCGCAACGCCCTCTACCGACCCCCTAACTCAAAGCCTAATCACACTCGAAACGCACCAGAAATTCCCAGGGTCTCTCCCCGACGACCGTATTGCTTTAACTTCACAAGTCGACTTTGGCATCGAGCGTTTTCTACCAGCAACGACAGGAAGCAATAATCCTCCGAGTGACAACATTATCGGCGACTTGGAACCAACTGAACGTGCACAGGCTTCTCTCATCCGCACATCTGCCGAGGGCGGTATCCAACCTGGTCACTTCTCTCATGAGCAGGTAGAAAGTCAAAATGCCCCGCAAGAGGACACAACACAGGGCGCCTCAGGTCCGCAATCATCTACAACACTTGTTATCATCAGCTCCTTATCATCTACGACAAGTTTTGTTTTCTCAACCCCCACTACTGAGTTGGATTGGAGCGGGGTGTCGCGACGGCCCTCGAAACAAAGCCTTGCGGCGATTTTCGGCAGTATACTAGGAGCAAGCATCTTTGCCGGTTGTATTGTGATCTTGCACAGGCTATGTTATCGGAACTGCCGAAACACTAGAGTCCGAAAGCATGCCATGTATAGCGCATATCACAGCGGCCATGAAAGCAAGCGTTTAGAACTAACTCCTCCCGAGATATCACGTTTCTCAAAGGATTCTTAACGCGTCCCGTCACGTACCACGGTATCCCCGACTCGTATACGGTACCAGAATACATATTTGACAATGTCTGACCACAAGTCTTTGTACCCCTGTACCTCCTGACCACCTGGTCTACACCGCCTACCTTTCGCACCACCCTGCGATGCTTTACACTGATCTGGGCATATTTATTAACAACACAAATGCCCCTTAAAGTCACTAGAGAAGAGGATTAAGAATGGAAGCTAGTGCACTAAATTAAGGAAAAATTTGATCGAAATTGGGTGTATTTAGTAAGGTAGAAAATCCCGCAAGAAAGTTGGTGAAGTACTAGGGTTTGGATACTAACGGACCGCCACTATACAAATACTTGCACTAGACACATCGTCTCCAAGACCCTATGTTGACCACGAATCTAGGGTCGTGCTTACCCCGAATAAAGCAGGACGTAGGATTTACCTGAGCTATGTACGGCTCTTAACCACTTACTATCTGATTCAGTTTGGAACTACCACGGCCGATTCCCAAAAATCATTGGGCAATCCCTTTGTGTGGAACGGTGACCTAGCATTAGGCTTTGCTTCTCAAATTCCATTATATTCAAAGGCGCCGGCTTGAGCACTCTGGACAAGTTCAATCGCTCCCTCAACCAACGTTTCCACATTGTTAGCTATCACTCCCTTGAAGTTGGCCTGTCATTGTATGTCCAATTGAATAAATAGGGTGAAGAAGACATCCTCGACAGTAAACGGCGCGTATAGTCGAGAAAGGAAATAACATGTAATGCGAAGCACATTCCCAATGACTGAGCGTCCTATCTCCTTGGCGTGACAGGGGTCTCTCCTCATCTGGAAAAAAATAGAAATGGAAGTCATATGTACTTAGATGTTCGAAAAATGCGTCTAGAGCGCCTCGATTATAGGGAAGCCAAATAGCCCCCTCCCGGAAGCTTGGGATCTCGAATCTGAAGTGCGTGATCTGGACAGAGTGCAACTGTTCTGAATGAGAGAAAGGATCGCCCAAAATCGGGCTGTAGTTCGGCTGCAGGGGCTCAAAGTTTGCGGGGGTCCTAGGTGGGCGAACGGGAGACGGATGCACCTGTTCGTAAGTTTCAGGTGCCAGGTTAAAAGATTCAGGTCCCGCAGTCACACCAGCATCAGATTCCCGCCAAAAATCGCTACCCTCCTGACTGATAGTCTCTTGGGGAAGGAGATATGAAAAAAAGGCATTAAATACGGACTGTCGCACCGAAACCGCGCTGACACGTACTTGGATAGTAGGATGTGCGAGCGACTCGGAGAGCGCGTATCGGTCGGCTTCAATAGAGTCGGTGAAAGGCTTGCCACAGCGCCGTTCCAGATCTATATCTTGGTCCTCCTCTGGCGGGAAATCGGATTGCACCTGCAAGGGGATCTCAGATATAGCTCTCTCCGTGTCGTCGACAGACACCGAAGGATGAATCCCGTGGAGACGGGCTAGGCCGAAGAAGTGGAATCGGAGAGAGGGAACCATCTCTGCAATGGGGATTTCATGGAGCCCATATTCTTGTGCACGCTCTATATCCTCCATTTTCCGAGGCACGCGGCGATGATGGTCCTTCTGCGTTGTCAGCTCGAAAGCGAACTGATGGCTGAATCGCCAAAGATTCCAGAGTCCCGACCGGAACCGACTTCCAGAAATTCTTGACAGATTGTACCCGAGTCCTCCTGATTCTACAATGTATTGTTCTTCCAAAGCTTGGTCAATTGATCGCGTCGCCGTTAAAGGGCTACGACAGAGTTGGCGCATTACGCTCTGTCCGACATCGAGGAAGAGGATATCCTGGAAGAAGGTCTTCAGTGTCGGGATGGGGAGATGAATCCGCTCCATTCTCTGCCAGATTGCATCACGGTCTCGTTCGCAGTCGATGTACTTAAAGAGTCTATTTTGTTTCAGGCGGAGGAAATTCAAGTCCCGGGCTGAGACCCCAGGCGCTCGGGACTGCAATAGGTGAACCGTCATCGCATCGATTTGGGAAAGGAGATCCACCTGCCCTCCTACCAGGTTAGAGAAAACGCGCTGGATGTAGTTCAAGTAACAAATTATGGGCTAAATACACATATCGGATTAGTATCTTTCCATCGACGACACGAACTTGGGTAGAGACGAGTAGCACCACCTTGTTACATCGCATGGCTCTCAGCTTGTGCAAGACACCAATACTCATATCGGCCCAGAGGCCCTTTATGGGCAGAAGTGCATCGAATCCGTCCACCAGGGGTTGAGGAAGTGCACGCAGGTAGTCGGCTTTTCGGCTGCCAGGCTCGCTCTGTAGGACCGCCCACCAGAAGTTCTCGGCGATTTGATTACGACGCCCACCAGTCGCGCCTTGGTAGAAACGAATACTTTGGTAGATGCGCCCGTCGCAGGGAAATCGTTCTTTGTGGAAATTTTCTCGAAGCGTGCGAATAAGCTCCTGATCAAGAGATCCAGGGTGACCTTGATCTGTGTCAGCAGCCATGCCAGTGGGGTTAGCGTTGCGGTCGACGGACCTGAGGTAGTCACATACACGTCCACTATCCACCATGGATTTTCTTCACCTAGCTCCTGGAATCTCGCTCTGGCGGCCGTGATGAGACTTTCTTGATCCAGGGCTAGCAGTGTGTAGTCCGGGCTTTTACATAGTTGATCAAATGGCAGATCAGGACGCAACGCGGAGGCCTCGAGCCAGACTCGTCCAGCATCCCAATCCACCGCGTCGATCACAACGGGCACATGAAAAGCTTTGCTCATACGGTACAGTCTTTCTCGAAATCGCCTTGACCAACACACACACAATCACTCTTATCTAGCCCCACCGCCAAGGCCTTAGCGTAGATCTCTCATTGAACGGGCATATTAAATGGAGGAACACCGTAATATGCACCTTGTATGGTACTGTCTTGCTATGTAATATTACACGGATGGTTCTGTACAAGAATTCAGTGGAATTGCTTGGGACCCTTCACTTTAGTGGGGTTTTGCAAATCATAGGAGGGCTGTCTAGCGCCTAGGAATTCGATGATCTGCTGGGTGACTTCGATTTTCCTTCTCAGCCCATGCGACGTGCGCCCGTCATCACTTCTGAGAAGTGTCTCATTAGCTCAGAGAACCTCATAACGAATTCTATCATCAGCAAACGACTAGCTCGACCAGATTTCGGCTGTTTGCAGGCAAACAACAGCCTCATCGGCGGCCGATGGCGTAGGCCTCAACTAATTATCACTAACAATAAGTCTGTTATCACAATAAACCCGAAGTTAATGACATCACATCAGCGATCCATCTATACACGACCCCATAATCTCCCATCTCATGTGACTGCCGCCCAAGTGTCCAACAACTTACCAACAAGGAAAAGGATGTCACGTGATTGTAGGCCTGGGCTGACAAGCTGGCCCTTTATCGACGCAACCCCGCTTCTTTCTCTTTATCAATGCCAGTGAGGCCTGATCATGGGTTCAACAGTTTCATTTGGCGACTTGAACTTTGGCTCACAGATAGGGTTCAACTACGGGTCCATCAACTTGAGTAAGTTATGGGCGATTTTATTGAGAATACACTGTACTGATTGTGATGGAGATCTGGACGAGAAGTTGCCTATCGTGGACGAAGCTGCGTTCGACTCGTTTAAAGACCAACATGAAGATAAATGTCTTCCAGGCACACGGACCGATATCATCCGTCAAATTACAGACTGGGCTTTCAACCCGCGTGGAAGGTGCATCTTTTGGCTAAATGGAATGGCTGGAACAGGAAAATCGACTATCTCTCGAACAATCGCCACATCTTTCAACAAAACCAAGACTCTAGGGGCAAGCTTTTTTTTCAGAAGGGGCGAACGAGATCGCGGCAACGCTCTAAAGTTTTTCCCGACAATCGCAAGGCAACTAGCAATCAGGATACGCCAGTTGCTCCCTTGTGTCCAGCAAGCAGTCCAAGATGACCCGAGCATTGCAACGAAGGGGATGAAGGAGCAGTTTGATAAACTACTCCTTCAACCACTCCTGAGCATAAAGCCATCTGATCTCCCGATTCATACCGTGGTCATAGTGATCGATGCATTGGACGAATGTGAAGGAGATAATGATATACGACTCATACTCCAACTTCTACCACAGCTCCAGACACTACATTCTATACGTGTACGGGTGTTCTTGACCAGCAGGCCCGAATTGCCAATTCGTCTAGGGTTCTCCAAAATTGCAACCCGTGACTATAAAGACCTAGTTCTCCATGAGATTCCTGAGGAGGTGATTAGGCATGATATATCACTGTTCTTCAAACACCGACTTTCAAAAATCAGGGCAGAGCTCCCTCTTCCTCACGACTGGCCTGGAGAGACAAACTTTGAAAAGCTCGTAACAATGGCCGTCCCATTATTTATTTTCGCCGCTACTATTTGCCGAGTACTTGAGGACCCTTATTGGGACCCAATAGACAGCCTTGCCGAGATCCTTGCTCATCAAGATAATATATCCAACATGGATAGAACATATCTTCCTGTGCTAGATCGGCTTCTCAGCACACAAAACGTCAGACAGAAAAAGCAGCTAGTCCAAGATTTTCAGCAAGTTGTTGGATCAATCGTGCTACTAGAGAGCCTACTGTCTGTTGTCTCACTATCAAAGCTTCTCAGCCTGCCAGAAAGGTTTATTCAGCGTAGACTGAACCCTCTACATTCAGTTCTGAATGTTCCAGCTAATAGCCCTTTGCCGGTCCGGCTCTTCCACTTGTCATTTCGAGACTTTCTTCTCGATCCGGAAACCCGCGATAAAACTCCCTTCTGGGTGGATGGGAAAGCGATGCACTATAAGTTAACCATTCAATGCCTTCTTACGTGTCAAAATCTGCGAAAAAACATATGTGGATTAGCGAGCGACGGAACCCGACGTGCGGAGGTTAGTCGTCAGACTATCGATGACTGTCTTCCCCAGAATTACAATACTCTTGTCGTTACTGGGTACGTCACCTAACGCAATGCACAGATCTGAATATTGTAATGCGTGATGCTCTCTTATTTCCCCAAAAGCATTTTCTACACTGGGTGGAAGCAATGAGCCTACTAGGTTTGGTATCAGGAGTAGCGGGAATGCTTGACGTCCTGCAGACGGTAATGCCAGTAAGTTCCGTTAATAGCTACATATGATCTAAACTAATCGCGATAGAGTGACCACCACCCCGCAATATCTGATTTTCTCCATGATGCAAAGCGCTTTGTTCTTAAGAATCGCCAGATAGCCGACGAGGCACCGCTTCAGATTTATTGCGCAGGACTTATATTTGCACCCCAATCGTCAATAATCCGTACCAAGTTCGAAGCAGAGATTCCTACTTGGATATGCCAGTTACCACGAGTTATGGAAAAATGGAGCGCAGAGTTACAGGCACTTGAGGGCCATTCGGGTTCGGTTCTCTCGGTGGCCTTCTCGCCTGACGGCCGGCTACTGGCGTCCGGATCCGATGACAAGACCGTGCGCTTGTGGGATACGGCGACGAGCCTGCTCCAGCAGATCCTCGAGAGCCAGTCGAGTTCGGTTTCCTCAGTGGCTTTCTCGCCCGACGGCCGCCTACTCGCGTCCGGCTCCGATAAGACCATACGCCTCTGGGACACGGCGACAGGCGCGCTCCAGAAGACCCTCGAGGGCCACTTGAGTTTTGTTCTCTTAGTGACCTTCTCACCCGACGGCCGGCTACTGGCGTCCGGCTCCGATGACGAGACTGTTCGCCTTTGGGATACGGCGACGGGCACGCTCCAGCGGACCCTCCAGGGCCACTCGGGTTTTGTTCACTCAGTGGCTTTCTCGCCCGATGGCCGCCTACTCGCGTCCGGCTCCGATAAGACCATACGCCTCTGGGACACGGCGACGGGCACGCTCCAGCAGACCCTCCAGGGCCACTCGGGTTTTGTTCACTCAGTGGCCTTCTCTCCCGACGACCGGCTACTAGCGTCCGGCTCCAGTGACAAGACCATTCGCCTCTGGGATACGGCGGCGGGCACGCTCCAGCAGACCCTCGAGAGCCATTCGAGTTGGGTCCGCTCGGTGGCCTTCTCGCCTGATAGCCGGCTACTGGTGTCCAGCTCTAATGATGAGACCGTGTGCCTGTGGGACACGGTGACGGGCACGCTCCAGCAGACCCTCCAGGGCCACTCGGGTTTTGTTCACTCAGTGGCCTTCTCTCCCGACGGCCGGCTACTAGCGTCCGGCTCCAGTGACAAGACCATTCGCCTCTGGGACACGGCGATATGCGCGCTCCAGCAGACCCTCGAGGACCACTCGAGTTCGGTTAGCTCGATGGCCTTCTCGCCCGACGGCCGGCTACTGGCGTCCGGCTCCTATAAGACCGTGCGCCTCTGGGATACCGCGACGGGCGCGCTCCAGCAGACCCTCGACGGCCACTGGAGTTCTGTTCGCTCGATGGCCTTCTCGCCCGACGGCCGGCTACTGGCGTCCGGCTCTAATTATGATACCGTTCGTCTCTGGGACACGTCGACAGGCGCGCTCCAGCAGACCCTCGACGGCCACTGGAGTGTTGTTCGGTCGGTGGCCTTCTCACCCGACGGCCGGCTACTGGCGTCCGGCTCCGATGACGAGACCGTTCGCCTATGGGATACGGCGACGGGCGCGCTCCAGCAGACCCTCGAGGGTCACTCGAGTTCGGTTCGCTCGGTAGCCTTCTCGCCCGACGGCCGCCTACTCGCGTCCGGCTCCGATAAGACCATGCGCTTCTGGGATACAGTGACGGGTGTGCTCCAGAAGATCCTCAATGTTAACGGTTTGATCGATTCCCTTGAATTCGCTCAGGGTGGTTCATGTCTAATCACCAACCTGGGTGCCTTTAATGTTCCGTCCTGGAGTGAACATCATGCTCCTGGATTATCCCATAGGCATCTGGACGTCTTCATCGAGCAAGGACAGTGGATAAAGCTGAAGGGAAAAAATATACTATGGCTACCTCCTGAATCCCGGTTTACGTGCTCTGCGATTGTTGGCAATTTATTAGCCTTAGGACATGCATCAGGGTGGGTTTCTTTTATAGGATTTCGTGTATAGTCGGTGTCAATAATTTCCATTTTCGTTCCTTCTATTTTCTAATCTCTTTAGAAAACAAGGCTGGAAGAAGAAGAGAATTTATATGGCTCTATAATTTTAGTGGAATGTGTCGAACTTGGGAGTGGCATCTTACCACTAGCAACATGCTTATTCATCGAGTACCCACATTTCTCTGTTTTTTGTATGTAATTACGGGGTTCCGAGACAACACTTCAAAGTTACTCTCGAGTATCCCATGGGTCCTCTTAAGACACGGAGGAATTGGTCCCATCCACAGATCAACTATACCAACTCTGCAGATGTGTATTTAGCATACCCTCTGCGTGCCACTCATTTTATCTACAATCAATCGATTCACTCTTTTCCCTCTCAATTCGCCAGTTCTCATACGTATGCATACCAGTAGCTGATACTTCGTCAGAATGTGCTATCAAGTTCTACCAGGTTCTAAATTGTAAAGTCTATTGTGGCGTGTTTGCCATAATTCCAGATCGCTCACTTAGTGGCTAGATCCGGAAGGTTGAACTTCTTCTACAATAAGAGACCAAAAACAAACAACATGTAGCCCACACAGAGGGTACAGTACTGTATGCATGCTGTGTACCCTGAGAAGGAAAAGTTGCAACCACCTTGCACATGATCTAGGAACCAGGTACCACGATATTTTCTATGGAATTCCACTGAATTCTCGTACCCGTTGTGTAATTTTACGTAGCGAGGTACTGTACCATACATGCTTCATTTACGATGTGCCTCCTCTTAATGCGGCCCGCTCAATGAATGATCAGCACTAAGGCCTTGGCAGTGGGGCCAGAAAAGAGATTCTCAGTGTGTTTTGGTCAAGGCGATTTCGAGAATGACTGTAACATCCGAGGGACAACAACACAGAGTCACAGGGGATCAATCGAAGTACCGCATCAAGGAACGTTGTGGTCGATATTAAGGCTATATACAGCTGCTGCGTTGTGTACCGAGCGGGAACTAACCCCTGACGGATGGCGGACCCACCCGCGGGAGGGCCCGAGACCCCTCCCACAAACACGCAAGAAACCATCGCCAGCTTCACGGACGACCTCGAAGCCAGAACTACCGTCGAAAGCCGGAAGCGAACCCGGAGTGGAGATATCTTCGCTCCGTCGGATCCAGCCGGTCGAATCACTACCAAGGAGGTGTGGAAACTGATCAGCACGCTGAAGGACGTTATCCGCCACCAAACTACGACCATCGCTGCTACCCAAAACGAACTCCAGGAGATCAAACACAACCAGAACGTCCTCCAGGAACAAAACGAAAGGCTCCACGAGGAAGTGAAAGCTTTACGGGTGCAGCTCGAAAGCGCCCCAGCAGCGACCGCGACTAAGTCCCGGGCAGCAGTCGCAGCCAATGGCAGCAATGCCACACCCTCGCCGAACCCCCAACAACCCGAGAAAGAGCAAAACTGCGTCCGAATCAGCACCCAGAGAACCTTTGTTGATCCAAGAGACAATGAAGACAGCGACGGGAACGCATTTGGACGATATCTTCCCACCGACGTCGTCAACACCCACATTCGCACTGCATTGCAAAGCGACGATGCAACGCAAGACGCCCAAGTGGCAGGCATTGGCACCACCAAGACCGGCTATCTTATTCGATTCAAAAATATGGAGTCGGCTGAAGCAGCGCGCAATAACACTGGATGGCTACGTAAACTAGGCAACAACACGAAACTGGTCAAACCACGATTCGGCGTTGTAGTCCACCGTACCCCTACCGAGGAATTTGACCTGGAAACAGGGGCCACCCAGGCAGCGGAGAAGATCATCAACGATAATGACTTGGCGGAACTCGGTTTCCACATTGATGAACTGGCCTGGATGAAAGCGAAAGATAAGGCCTTGGGGAAGTTCGCATCGTTGGGAATCTGGTTTGACTCCGCAGACGGAGCAGAACATATGTTACGGAACGGCTTCGTTGTCAACCAGCACTACATTCCTCACGTTGAGAGACGTGAGATCAAGAAAAAGAGATGTTTTCGGTGCCAACGGTTCGGACACCTAGCATGGGCGTGCAAGGAAACGCCTCGATGCGGACACTGTGCAGGTCAGCACGAGCGTGAACGATGCCCACCGGGAGTGAGAGCGCGGTGCTTGGATTGTAATGGCGAACATCCAACTGGCGATCGACAGTGTCCAGGACCAGCGACCTCCAACCCCGTCAGATGCTAGAGAGAAACCTCCGCATCCTACAGTTGAACATGATGAAATCTGGACCAAGAATGGAGGCACTGATCAATGATACTCAAAGTCAATATCTGGATGTTCTTCTGATCCAGGAGCCCTCTATCACCACGTACCGCACACACGTCAATCACAGCGCCTGGCGATTATATCGGCCTACCGCACAGCTCGACGCTGGTCGGTTTCGCAGCCTGATCTACGTCAACAGACGAATCTCCACCTCCTCGCACCGTCAAATACTATGCGACCACCCAGACGCCGCAGCCATCAAGATATGGACAGCTAACTCTCAAATACTTCTCTTTTCTATCTACATACCGCCAGTACCACTTTTCACCGGCGATGACGCATCAGCGTTGCCAGTCCTCACCGCGATTCAGAGCTCTATCGCAGCTGCCACCCAAAACGAGCAGCGCTCGACCAGTATCATTGTTTCCGGCGACTTCAATCGACACCATCCGATGTGGGGCGGCAATCACATCGCGCCTAGGTTCATCGAAGACGCCAGCGACCTAATCGACTTTTTCCAGGCTCACAACCTCCAAGGCTGCCTCCCCCGAGGCACGGCAACCTACTGGGCCTTGAACAACCCGGGTCAAAACTCAACTATTGATCAGACAGTGACAGACAATCCGAACCTGCTTGTCAAATGTCATCTATACCACGAGAATTACGGATCTGACCACCGCGCCACCTACTCAGAATGGAATTTGCAGCCTCAGACTAAGCCAAGAACTAAAGCGAGGAAAGCGTACGAGCGGGCGGACTGGTCTAAAATTGGCGAGGAAGTAGCTCGTCAAATGTCCCCATGGAGGGAGATTAAGACCCGGCCAACACTCGACCGAGTGGTGGAGGAGCTCACATCAGCGACGGCCCAGGCGGTTGACCGATTCACACCCGACATGCGTCCAACGCTATACTCCAAGAGATGGTTTACCCCTGATCTTAAAGTGCAACAAGTTGAAGTCAATCAACTACGCAGGAGGTGGCAGGCGAGCTGCGCGGAGCTCGGCCGAGACCATGCTAGCACCACGGCTGCCTTTGAGGCTATGCAACAAAAGCGGCGAGCGTGGACCCGGACTATCGAGAAAACCAAAGCAGCACACTGGAGACAATTCCTAGACGAGGCGGGCGAAGGAAAGCTCTGGAAAGCCGCGACCTATATGAAGCCTCGGGAAACATGGGGTTGTACCCCAACATTGCGAGCTGGCTCTGAGGAGATCACCCAGAACGAAGACAAAGCAAAGGCGTTCCTCGATGCGTTCTTCCCCGCAATGAACATACCCGAGCCCATCCCACTAGCCTCGCCACTCCCGGAGCTTCTATGGCACCCAATCACGGAACTTGAGATTGAGCGATCACTCAGGACAGCGAAAGGGACGACAGCGCCAGGGGAGGACAATCTACCAATGTTGGTCTGGAAAAAACTATGGGTACACCTGAAAGCCTTTATCGTCCGCATTTTCACGGCATGTGTAGATTTAGGACACCATCCAAAACAATGGCGCAGCGCGAAGATCATTGTGCTGCGGAAGCCAGGCAAGCCAGACTACTCGCTTCCCGGCGCCTATCGACCAATCTCACTGCTGAACACACTCGGCAAGCTTCTCGAAGCAGTGATAGCGCGACGACTGTCCTATCTGGCAGAAAAGCACGGCCTACTGCCGAACAGCCAATTCGGCGGACGCCCAGGCCGAACCACCGAGCAAGCCTTGTTGGTGCTGTCTAATGCGATCGACCAAGCGTGGTACAAACACAAGGTGGTGACTTTAATTTCGTTCGACCTCAAGGGTGCCTTCAACGGGGTGAACTGGGTGAGCCTAGACTACTCTTTACAGGCGAGAGGGATTCCGATAGTGGTACGGAAGTGGATTGCAAGCTTCATGAGTGACCGCTATGCCAACATCGGATTCGACGATTTCCGTACCGAGACAGAGCCCCTCGCGCACGCAGGACTAGCGCAGGGGTCTCCACTCTCTCCTATCTTGTTTGCATTCTTCAACGCCGATCTAGTCGACCAACCTGTCGACTCCCACGGAGGCGCGTCGGCATTCATTGACGACTACTTCCGATGGCGAGTAGGCCGCTCGGCCGAGGAAAACCTAGCCACTATGCAGTCCGAAGATATCCCTCGTATCGAGGAGTGGGCACGGCGAACCGGATCTAGCTTCGCCGCAGAGAAAACCGAGCTTATCCACCTCACCAGAAAGAGGGGAGAACACCTGGAAGGGCAACTTACCTTTGAGGGAACCGACATTAAGCCGTCACCTACAGCAAAACTGCTGGGGGTGATGTTTGATCAGGAACTCCGCTGGAAGGAACACGTTCAGCAGGCCATCAAACGTGCTACTAAAGTTACTATCGCTTTGAGTGGGCTACGACATCTGCGTCCAGAACAAATGCGACAGCTCTACCAAGCATGCGTCACGCCTATCGTGGACTACGCATCGACAGTCTGGCATGACCCGCTTCGGGACAAGACCCACCTCCGACAATTGAACACAATACAGAGAGCCTCATTGATCCGGATTCTGTCGGCATTCAGGACGGTAGCGACAACAACGCTAGAGGTGGAAGCCCACATTCTTCCTACACACCTCCGCCTCCGCCACCGAGCGCAACGCACCATCGCAAGACTACACACTCTGCCTCG